AAAATGCATTAGCCCACGTTTTTAATGCATGTAATTTTCTAGCAAAGGTGTTTACTGCTCCAGCAGTACACTAAGAACTGCATTAGGGAAGACCTCTTTAGCTTTGCTACATCCGTTAGTACAATAGATCTCAAATTCTAGAGTGCTTAAAAAAAAAATCACCCCATCACTTAAAACTACAGAGGGAGAGGGGCTGGAATCTTCATTTTTAAATGTGTGCTCTCAGTGTCGGACCCACACTCCAAGTAGTAGGTTACATTCTCTTGTCTGATTCCTCACACACAGCCCCAGGACATGGGGGTGAGCTGAACACCTTTCAACTTAATTAAGGTATTGCTTATCGCAAACCCTCATTTGCAGATGTTTTCTTTCACACATACATAGATATATTTGAAACTTACGCTTTAATTGCTAGCATATTGAGTTAAATTTGTTTATAGGCGTGTTAATTTTTAGATGTTATAGGGGTACAGTGTTACCACACCACCACATTGTTAAAATGCCAGTAACCCCGTACCACTGTCTGGAAGGCCCTTCCTTTCAACTTCCTCCACTCTCATGTGACCTCATTCTGCTCTCAAGAGTCCACAGGGCTTTTGCCTTCCCATGGAACATTTTTGCTTTGCTTCTTTATATGCTTCCTATCAGTGAGAACATTCAGTATTTGTCTTTCTCCTCATTGTTTATTTTGTGGTGCCAGGAGCCTACACCAGAATCTCACCCGTGCAAAGCAAGTGCTTTAGCCCAGGCCCTTTATCCCTGGACCTTCTCTCCTAATTCCTTGGCGTGACTCCCACCTAGGTTTTAGAAAAAAGCAAGTCTTCCTCTTTTCTTGTTGCGAAGTATATGCACGACTATGTATACGTACCACAGCAACTTTGTTGTTGTTTTCCTCCTCCTCCTCCTCCTCCTCCTCCTCCTCCTCCTCCTCATCTTCTTCTTCATTTTCCCCCACAACTTTTTCACAGAAACCCAATCTAAAATCAAACAAAATGTATGTTCTACTTAAAGGTTAAAGTACTCACAGGGACCAGAGCTCACACACTTCGCTTAGATTTCAGCCTTTGCAAGATGCCCGAGTCTCCCTGCTCCCACCCTTCTCTCAAGACCCCCAAGGAATTGTAGATGATATGCTTCTAAGAATGGACAAGGTGCCATTCTCTGTCTAGCTGTGGGGCTGGACATGTTGACCTCTCTAGTGTCTCCCACAAGAGGTCAGTAAGTAGGTGTTAGACAGGTGGTTTGTGATCATTCTGCTTTGGTAGGATTAAGGTAAAGGTAAAGGCCCTCCTGTTGATCGTTGATTTGCTCAAGCAGGCCCAGTAACGTCTCCATTGGAGACTTTGTTGTTACTGTGTCTGGCATATCGAATACTCTCGGTAGGGATGCCAAATATCCAACTCGTCAACTTTTTATTTAAGTACCATTCCTTCTTAAATACTTGGTACTCCCATGTATTTGGAGAAATTTCTAGAAAACTCAAAGTTCGATAGACCAGATAAATTGTAACCATTTCTCTATGGAAGAAACAAGATGTTAGAGAAATCAACTTATTCATATTTTACCATACGCTCCCTTAATTCTATTTGGCATGTAAATGATACTAAATAAAATTAAAGACAAGAATATTTTTAATTCTAAATAAATGCCCTAGGAAGAGAAAAGAAAGCAGTCCTGGCCAAGAGTAATGCCTCCTGGGGTGCAAGTGGAGGTGGAGAGTGGGTTTTCCAGAACAGTGTTGTGTTATTCTGCTGTTGGCCATTTTTCCTTCTACAATTAAAAGGGTGGTGGGTGAAACAGTTCTGAAGACTGAAAAACTGAGAAATCAAACTGAAACATTTTCCCTCGAATTTTGACTTATTTATTTGAATTGGTTTCTCTCTCCCCGTTCCCAGTCCCCTCGGTTGGAGCAACTCCAGCCTGCTGGAAATTCAGGATCACTCCTGGCGTCAGTAGGGCAAACATCAGTGTTTGGAAACTCAGAATTCCGAGTTCTGCCCCTCAGAATCAGGCAGGCCTCCTGGTGTGAGACCCTACCAACTCCTCTCTGGGAGAAGCACAGAGAATTTTGCTCTCTGCTCCTGAGGAGCTTCAAGGGGGAAAAAAGGGAAGAAGTTAAGCCAGAGATTAGCACACTTTATTGATTTATAGTGTCCCTCAGGCAAAAGAAATGCCTAACTATTCTGTTAAGGAAAAAAATAGAAGCCGTAATAAATAGTAACTTTATTTATTTATTTTGCTTTTGGAGGGGAGGAGTAACACCTGGCAACGCTCAGGGGCTACTCCTGGCTCTGCACTCAGGAATTACTTCTGGCAGTGCTCAGGGGACCATATGGGATGCCAGGAATTGGACCTGGGTTGCAAGGCAAACACCCTTACCCACTGTACTATCACTCTAGTCCCAATAAGTAGTAACATGCTAGAAGTCTGACTCGTCAGTGCGCTTTCCCTCAGAGTCCCTGTGGATTTGTGAAATGCTAGGTACCACAGTACGTTGTTGGTATTGGTGGACTGTACACTCCTTCATGCACTTGACCCCAGCTTGAATCCCTGGTACCTCATAAAGTCTCCTGAGTACTGCCAGGTGTGACTGAACTCACCCTCGCCTTGCCAACATTGTGCATTGTTGGTGGACTGTAGACTTCTTCAGATGTCAATAATAAATTTGTCCTTTCTTATGCTCTTGGAACAATATCTGAATGAAGGAATTGGAGGACACTAGTACATTATCAGAGTGGAGCGTCCTCTTTATGGAAGAGTTGTCTGTCCCTCATCATCGTCACCAGAGCATCCAGGTTTCAGCTTAGATTTAACCAGAGATCATGTGGTTTCCTAGCCTAGAATTCTGGACACCTGCCCAGTATGAATTTAGAAACTACACCTTCCAGTGCTCTTGGCACAGCCTGTTTTTTTGGTTGTCACTGAATGGGAGATGCTGGCAGAAGCATTCCTGGTGTGGGAGGGCAGAGGCTCACAAGAAGAGATCTCCTAAGAAAGCACTAGAAACTGAACCTAGGCCCTTACACATAGAACGTAAGTTTTTTACCCCTGAGCTATATCCCTATCCCCCTACAGCTTAGCTTTTCAATTCTTCATACCCTGAGCAAATATCATAAAGCCAAGAAACTTAATTTCATTTGACCAAGCTAAGTGTAGGTTGTCAGTTTTACGAGCCTCTGAGCACATACTTTTGGTTCTCTACCCATTTCTCTAAAGCACAGACCATGATGGAAAAAAATGAATGGCTGAACTTTCACGTATATTCTCAACCCCAAAGAATGATGACCATTTCTTTATAATGCCAAATGCCTCTGACATGGTGGATTTCCTGCCTCCTATTTAAACTATGGAACATTGCCCATTCTGCACTTACAGATTGTTTGCTCAAGTGCACATATCAATCAAATTGCTCTTATCAGTAAAGTGCCAGTATTAGTAAATTGGTAAATATACAAAAACATTGCCAGTCAAACGTTTTGTGTCTTTGTATTAAATTTTTATCATTTCTATCCATTCAAGAGTTTACAAAGTATTTAGAGTTTACAAACTATGTCTGTGAAAAATTTATATTCATCTTCTCCTTCTACCTCCCCCCCTCCCAACCAAACCCCCACATGAAATATAAAAACCTAAAAAGCACTATTCAGGGTTAATTACTGGGGAGTTTACTTTGAATTATTGCCTTTGAAGAAGAAAGTGTTGTGTAGAAGACCTGAAGTAAGAAGACTGGTCATGTGTGCCGACATGATATGTGGAAGAAATTGGACCGTCATTGAAAGGGAGATGCTGGCAGAAGCGTGCCTGGTGTGGGAGGGCACGGGCTCATGAGAAGAGATCGCCTAAGAAAGGCACAACACCATCTGCACCTGCAGGCTGTGGTCACCGCCCCTGTTTCATTGCTGCTTTGTCAAAGTCTGCTGGTTCTGCGTCCACTCAGCTTCTTCACCCCTAGTTCCATCTGTGCGTCCCCAGGTCTTACTCTCATTTTCACTTCCTTTCCCTCAGGATCCTGACAGCTTTAAGGATTCTTCTTAAAGACTCAGTTTCCTTGGCAATTAGTGCTAACTAAATAATGTCATGATTATGAAAGTTAAATGAGATCCATGTTAAAGCCTTTTGTTGCCAATGATCACGACAATCACGACCATCCTGTTATTCGTCGATTGCCTTGAGCAGGCCCCAGTAATGTCTCCTTCGTCCTAGCCCTGCGATTTTTTAAAAAGTGCCATATTCAAGGCTCTTTCAGAGTTAGGAGAATGAGAGCCATCATTGTTACTGGCATTTGGCATATTGGGTATGCCACGGGGAGTTTGCCAGACTCTGCCGTGTGGGCAGGTTACATTTGGTAGCTTGCCAGTTTGTCCAAAGTAGGAATGAGATGATAAGATGTCACGGGGCGCCGCATGCTTCCGGAGGCTGGGTTTTATAGTCTCTGAGTCTTGGCCGTTGATGGGATTACACGACGCCAGGGGGCCAGTTGGTGGGTGTGACCCCCGCCTGCTGGAATTTGGAGGATCTGGGTGGAGGATGCTCAGCCCCGATCCGAGTAGGCTTGGAGATCTCAGCCCCGGGACCCGCGTGCCTTTGTTCCCCTGCCGGTACCTTCATGCGTGCGGAGAGTGGTCTCAGCATGGTGGTGGCTACAAATTTATATATATATTAGGTGTCGAAAATCATTTGTTGGTCTTTTCCTCTATTGTAGCCATTTCTCAATGTACCTGTTACCCTCTGAACAATTCTTTGTCAAATACCAAATTTAAATGCCGCTGTTTCATCTTGCCTGGATTATGGTGATTCCTGTGCAGCTTTATGATCTAAGCCAAATCTTTAAGTACTCCTCTGGCTCGTATCTCTTCCACAGAACACCCAGGCAAGATCATAATCTACAAAACACAGAGGCAGTAACTCCTTTTAATTGCCAGAAGTTCATCAGACGCTAAGCTCTAAATGCAGTCACTTCAACACTCGCCTTGAAAAGCTTCTCTCTGCTTATTTCTCAGAGCCGAGACTGTGTGAAGCTGGGCCCTCCCTCCGAGGGAGAAGTTGTTCAAGTCAAGTGGCCTGATGGGAAACTGTACGGGGCAAAATATCTTGGCTCAAATGTCGCCCACATGTACCAGGTGAGTGTGCCCAATGTGTGCTTGCTGAGAGGACAGGGAAAGCCAGAGGGCAGAGAGAAGCCGTGTACTGCTGATCAATAAAACACGACTTTGAGGCAGCTCTAATTTTGTAAAGAAGAAGATTGTGTCTTGTGACCCCAATATTGGAGTTTTACTACCATGTTCAGCACTGCTAAAGTCTTAATATAATTTGATGAAGGGTTTCATTTTAAATAATACGGTTAGGCTGTAAAGTTAAACAACAAATGTGGACTGCTGTCCTGTGTTTCCTTTTTATGGGCGGAGACAAATTGGCTGGTTTATTGCACCATGAGCCAGGACAATAACTGCTGCTCCTCAGGCCACAGCCTGGGGTTGGTGGCTTTTGTCTGTGAGACACGCCCCTCCCTGGGCATTTTAGCTAACCTAAAACATGTGCAGTGATATGGATACAGCCAGCTAATTACCCTCGAAGGAGTGCTTGCTTTATGAAAAGTACAATTTCCAATTGGACATCCTACTAACTGTGAAATTTCATGGATTAAAATGTATATTCAGTTTAAAAATCCTTATCAGACATAAGAATGATAAAGCTGTAACGAGGAAAATCACACGAATGGCACAGGTGCCTTTATATTCCTTTAGAAAGATTCTTAAAAGGCACAAACTTACCTAAACCGGTGCATTTTAGTACTTTCAGCAACATGATGGCTCAAATCCACATTCTCCAGCTAAGCAGTAAAGTGAAAATAGGAAGATTGAAGGAAAATGGAAAACAAAAAAAACCAAAACCAAGAAGGCCCGGACCTGTTGAGTTAAAAACAGCTTGAGAATGATAAGACTGCCCATTTCAGCAGAGAAATTGTTCAAAGACTGATAAGGGGCAAGGGCTTAAAGGGAAGAGTACATTATAAGTCATTGCACCAAGAACTGGAGCACAATATAATTAAAAATGTTCAAAGAAGTACAGAAAATTTAGGGGAGAAGGTATTTCATGGTTTAGAAAAACTCAAGGGGGAAGGTGGAGCGTGTGCAAAGCATTTGCTCTTTGTGTGTGTGTATGTGTGTGTGTGTGTGTGAGAGAGAGAGACAGACAGACAGACAGACACACACCACACACCACACACACACACACACACACACACACACACAGAGTATAAAGGCCATTTCCTCTTCCCCTTTGTATTGGTGAAAATACTCAGTAACAGAGTCAGATCATTTCTAACCATATAGGTGCTGGAGATCCCTTGTGGCAGAATATTGAGAATTGGGCAAAATTCTAAGGGCAGCCTTATAAATATATATTAGGGATTCCTAGGGGGAAAAGCATTCATTCAAAGTGAAATAATTGTATTCATTAAACAATGCACAAGTTTCATGCATGTTGTAAAACTATTTGCTATGTATATCATAATGAGAACATGTTAAATTCAGGCTCAGCTTTAGTAATCAGTGTGTGAACTTCAGTTGAATTTATGATGCCCTTTCAACATAGAACTATGAGAATATTTATAGACTCAATGAAAAAGTTAATACTAATATTAAAATTGTCTCTCACGCAGAAGGTGTTTAAAATCACTCATTAAACTAAGTGGCCTTTTGAGATCTTTTTGTGTTTTGTGTCTAAGTTTTCAGTAGCAAGCAGAGATATTTATAAAACTAGATGCAAATTAAAATCCTTCAGTATGGTGCTAAGTATGTATATGCATTCTTTTTATGTCTGTGCAGACTTTTTTCTCTTTTTGTCATTTGAATCCTATTTTACAAATGAGGGGAAAAAGGTTCGGCGAATTCAGTAATTTGTTTTCAAGAATACATGTCCAAGGCTGGAGAGATAGTACAGCGGGTTAGGCACTTGCCTTCATGTGGCCAACCCATGTTTGATCCCCACTGGAATAATCCCTGAGCACTGCTAGAAGTGGCTCCAGATCAAAAATTAATAAATAAACCAATTATTTCATCTGGTAAAGGGAAGGACTAGATTTGCCCTTCTCTAACTTTGCCCCTGACTCTAGCACCAAAAGTCCTATATTCCAGCAGACCCTTTAGTCCCGGGATGGGAAACATCTGACCCTTTAGTCCCGGGATGGGAAACATCTGCCCCGTGAGCCGTGTAAGGCCCACAGAATCATTTCATCTGGCCCTGGTACATGATGGGACAGAAATGTGTGTCTGTATTGTATGACCCAGTACGAAGTTATAAATATCCAAATCGTGCTCAGCAGAAAAATAGGTTCCCCATCCCAGCATCTTAGAAAACCACGATGATTATCTCTACACCAGGCTCTTATTTAGTGTTATAATTGTGATTTTCTCTTTTAGCATTTTCAAATCTGAAACGGAATTAAGGTCAGCACAGGCAGTTATGACCTTACTATCAAATTGTAAATGAGATGACCCCATGACCCAATTAAATTTTAAAGAAACTGTTATACTAGAAAGAGGCGAAAAAATTAAAAAGCCTCCCCATATCAGCCATCTGAGTCCTGTTACTCTCTCCCCCCTACAGTTTGAGTGCAATAAGATATTAGCAGTAGATGGATGATAAGAAGTTTAACAATATATTTATATTTTCTATAACATTTTTTTTCAAATTCGGCAGATTTTTTATTAACATTATGCAGATGCTTGGGTGGTTTAATTTCCCTTTTGACTTGAAGTATCAAGTTGTTTTGTTCTTGTTTTTTTTTGTTTGTATTTATTTGGCATTTAATAAGCCACACCCAGCTATACTCAGAGCTTACTCCTGATTCTGAACAGGGATCACTCCTGGTGAGGCTCAGGGGACCATCTGGGTGGCTGGGATGGAACCCAGGTCAGCAGCATGCAAGGTATGCATACTTTTTTTTTTTTTTGCTTTTTGGGTCACACCCAGCAATGCTCAGGGGTTACTCCTGGCTCTGCACTCAGGAATTACTCCTGGTGGTGCTTGGGGGACCATATGGGATGCTGGGAATCGAACCCGGGTCGGACGCGTGCAAGGCAAACGCCCTACCCGCTGTGCTATTGCTCCAGCCTCGGTATGCATATTTCTACCTGTACTATCTTGCCAGCCCACCAAGCATATTTTTATTTTTTTTTTTTAAAGTATTCAGGCAACCATACAAGTTAGAGATTTCAAAAAGTGGTTCAGTTTGAACCTGTTAGAAATTCTACCCTCATCACATCCCTTTTGCTGTTTTCTCCTGGAAGAGTTCATGTGGGATTAAATTTAAACGGAAGGGACGAAGAACCTTTGGATATGACTTTTGAGGAATTTCCCCAGATATTCGAGGATACTATTAATATCATTTACTTTTTCTCTGACAAAACCTCCTAAGAGTCCAGGGAGATAGTGCAGGGATGAGGATACTTCCATGGCCCTAGTTTTGAATCTTCAGCAACACATAGGGTTTCCCAAGCACCCACCAGGAGGTCACTCCTGAGCCTGGAGACAGGCAGAGCCCCTCAACACCCACAGGCCAGGCAGAGTACTCACCACCCCTCCTCCACTCCAGCCTCCTAAAATGTTAGGGAAGGAAAGTAGTTACGAAATTATTTATTTCCATATCATTAGCTTGAAAATAAACTTTTAAGCAGTTTCTCTTTAGATGGGCTGGAGCGATAGCACAGCAGGTAGGGTGTTTGCCTTGTGTGCGGCCAACCCGGGTTCAATTCCTCCATCCCTCACGGAGAGCCCAGCAAGCTCCCCAGAGTATTCCACTCACACGAAAGAGCCTGACAAGCTCCCCGTGGCATATACGATATGCCAAAAACAGTAACAAGTCTCACAGTGGAGACGTTACTGGTGCCTGCCTGAGCAAATCAATGAATGGAGGGAGGACAGTGCTACAGTACTTCACTTTAGATAATGTATTTCACAATTGATATTGTTTATATGTTACAAGGTTGAGAACCTGGGGTTTTCCTAGCGTGTTTGATTTAATTTGATTGAAGCAAGTACTATAAGAACGTAAGAAATTTTATCTGGTAGGATTAAATGCAAGGGTAAGTACATCATCGTTTCTTTCTCAAAGAGTAGTGGTCTTTTCCTTTTATGTTATCAGAGCCTCTCAGAAATATGGGACTGACAGGCCCACTGTTAAATTGGCCACGGCCTCACATTCTGAATTATCATTAAAGCAGCAGCTACTTTTCTTTGTTTTTGCTTTTGCTTTGGGGGCATGAAGTTTTTATATCTCATGTTCCAAGGCATTCATTTTCAAGAATTTCACTGTTTGAACATATATTTTGTTCCTAGTTTGATAAGGGAAAGAGCTTTTCTTCCTTCCTTCACTGTTGGTGAGTTTCTTTGTTCAGCTTGAATTCTTTTTTCTTTTTTTTTCCCCTTTTTTTCACTGTAGTGGGATGGAACTCTGGAGGGAAAATGTCAACTGTTGTTTGTTTCTGAATGTATGTTATGATTTCTTCCTTAACACCAGGTTGAATTTGAAGATGGATCTCAGATAGCAATGAAGAGAGAGGACATCTATACTTTAGATGAAGAGTTACCCAAGAGAGTGAAAGCCCGTTTTGTAAGTGCTGGAAAATGCCACTTGGGATCCCCACGTGGTTTCCTCATTCTCTCCATCTCTCCAAACTGTAGGTTTCTTTAAATGTTCGATTGTGTATTTAGTGCCTTTTCTCTCAGATCCTGAGGTGAGGGTGACTTCACTTCTCAGTGGCGCCTCGAGGAAGCAGGTCCTCCAGAGTAAAACAGCAATGGCAAGAAAAGCACTGGAACACTGTTGCCCAGCCAGTGAGAAATGTAGAAGGAGATGACCCACTTGCCATATTAGAAAGAATGGGGAACGAGAAAATCAAATATTCCTATCGTAAGGCTACAATAGCATTAAAAGAAAATCCGAATAACTTATCTGTTCTAGGTCAGGGAATCTCTTGAGAACAACTTTCCTTTTTCAGATGCCAGGACTGGCCACCCCATTTCCTGTTTCTGTCTTCCACAGTCTCTGCCTTTTTTCCCTTTATTTTAGATGATAGTCAAAAGAGCTATAGTGGGGGGAAGAAGGGGGAAGGAAGAAACTGGCTCCCTGAAAGTCCCTTAAGTAGTTGATCTTCTGACCTGTGAGTGACCAAGTTTCAAATGCTAGCTGATCATCACATCAAAAGGAAGCTCTCAATAGCCTCCTTTAATCATAGTCTCCTTGTTCTCCATTAGATTTGGCTTCACTACCAGGATACCTTCCCATGGGGCTTTATTTGTTTATAACTCTTGAGTTTTCTTTTCATTTTCCCTTTTTTTTTTTTGTGCCACACCTGGTACTCAAGGCTTACTCCTAGGTCTGCACGCAGCAATCACTCCTGGTGCAGCTTGAGAACCATGTAGATCAACAGGGATCAGACCTAGGTCGGCCCCATGCAAGGCAATCGCCTACCCACCTTACTATCTCTTTATCCCCATCTCTTGAGTTTTCTTTTTTTTTCTTTTTTGGGTCACACCTGGTGATGCACAGGGGTTACTCCTGGCTCTGCACTCAGGAATTACTCTTGGTGGTGCTCAGGGGACCATGTGAGATGCTGGGAATCGAACCCGGGTCAGCCGCGTGCAAGGCAAACTCCCTACCTGCTGTGCTATTGCTCCTTCCCCCTCTTGAGTTATCTAAGCATTCAACTTTTTAAAAAAGTTTTCTAAGCATTCAACCTTTTTAAAAAGAAAATTCTAAGTGAATTAAATTAATTCTGATTCATTTCTTTAAAAGTTTCATTTTTAAAAAGTTGGAAAAAAATACAAAAATTGTACACATACTCTCTGAGTATAACCTACAGCAGGTGAGCCTGTGTATTGGAAAATACCTTAAGAAACACAGACTCAGAGTCATTAAATCCAGTTTACCACCTCTGTTACCTAGGAAACCAGTTTTCCTTCAGATTGGAATAGAAGCCTCAGGTCCTTGGTTAGACTATGACTTTTTTACCCCTAGTTGGTGAAACAAATATAATTGGAAAAATTCATTGATGAGGATATTTTATGATAAGAGAAATTTATTTCTTTTAAGGGGAAGAGGATTGGCAACCCCCCAAGGAGGTCTTCATGTTTTAATGACTTCTGCTCACCCAGACCCACGCTGAGAGTAATTTTTCAAAGACATCAGCAGTCCACTGCAGTGATGTGTTGAAGTGGTGGGTTTTTTGAGTATTTTTTTTTTTTTTGCCACTAACTTCAGAAACAGCCCCATTACCTTTTATTGTCTAATGGAATAACCATAGCAACGGTGCATAATTAACTAGAGCTGCTGGCAAATCGGTTTTATTGTATTTGAGAGTCTGACTTTTGCTGTTTTCACATAGTGGCAACACTTTCGTAGGTGTTTTATTTTTCTCCTTTGATAACTTTAGCACTCGTAAGAGGAAAAGATTACTTAGAACAAGTATCTTACCAAGAATGAATGAAATAAAGATGTGTTCTCTAAATGACATGGGGTGCCTTTCCCATTCACATTCCCTCACCTCCCTCTCCCCACTAAGTGAAACTAGGCAGCAGCGGGGGAAAATCCACGGAGGTTGTCTGTGACCCTGGATGTGTGTTACTGTCTTGGCTGGGCTCTTGGGTCCATGTTTTAGTTTTCAAGCTTTGTCTGTCATTTGTCTCTTCTTCACAAGTCATCTAGTGTTTTCAGACTTCAAAGCCAGACTCAGACTGTATAGGAAGTGGCCTCAGTGACATAGTGGGATACACAGTGCAGGTATTTTCCCAAATGATCCAACTCACTGAAAATGAGTTGGAAATGCATTTGGGGATTCAATCACTATCACTATCACTATCACCTCTTTGTTCATCGATTTGCTCTAGCAGGCACCAGTAACGACTCCATTCATCCCTGTCACGTGCTAGTGTAGCCCAATGGCATATTGGGGGCTCTTTCGGGGTCAGGGGAATGAGGACCATCATTGTAACTGTTTTTGGCATATCGAGTATGCTACGGGTATACTTGCCAGGCTCTGCTGTGTGGCGGGATACTCTAGGTAGCTTGCTGGGCTCTCCTAGAGGGATGGAGGCTTTTGGGAATTCAAAATAGTGAGAAATTAGGCAAAATAAATATTGCTCTAATGCAGATTTTACCTTAGTACCACTCAGTAAAGCCCACCTTTCTCTTACTCATCTATTAGTGAGCAGTTAGTAGTGCTGGGTGTTTTGAAACACATATAAAATCAGAAATGCCCCCTGATGGGGTTCATGGATCCCCTTCTCCTTATCTCTGTCACCACGCTGAATGTGACTATGTTGGATATGTAGAGTGTTAGAATAATGCAAAGGAAATATCTTCAAGTTTGTGTGTGGTGGGGAAGATAAGAATATCTTCCATAAAGGAATTGCACATCTAAAGACAATGGGACAGAAACAGTAAAATGCGGTTGGGAATTATTCTGTCTCCTCAAGACATGGAGTAGAATTATGCCAAACTCAGCCTACGGAGTGTGGATGTTATGCTAAAGATAATAAGGCTACTGAAAGAGTCCAAATCATAATCAGCATGTTCTTAAGGAGCTTTCTTCTAGTAGTTCTATAGAAAAAGGACTGAGAGGACTGGAGATACAGTATAGTGTGTAGGGCATTTGCCTTGAATGCAACCAAACTGGTTCAATCTTCAGCATGCAGTTCCCCGAACACAACCGGGAATAAGTACTGAGCATTGCTTCGTGTGCCCCAAAAATTGAAAGGAAAAAAAAAGATGGGCGGGAGCAGTAGCACAGTGGGTAGGGGTTTGCCTTGCACACAGCCGACCCAGTCGACCTGAGTTCGATTCGTCAGCCCCTCTCAGAGCCCTGCAAGCTATCAAGAGTATCTCGCCTGCACGGCAAAGCCTGGCAAGCTACCCGTGATGTATTCGATATGCCAAACACAGTAACAACAAGTCTCACAATGTTACTGGGCCCATTCGAGCAAATGGATGAACAACGGGAGGACAGTAACAGTGACAGTAGGGACATTGCACTTATAATATAGCACTTATGTAGCACTTAAAATGGCTTGCACCATGGGATCAGTAGGAATAAAGAAGAAAGAACTGAGATCCATTGTAGGAGAGTTCTGGGACAGGGAGTGGACAAAAGGAAGTTTATGATGACTCACATTTTGACCAGCATAACAGTTTATGAGGTTGATGGTACCACTTATGGAGCATAGAAAGGACAGTGATGGCGTGAACTCAGTGGCACTGAGTTCAGTTTAGGCCTGAAATGCTCAAAGAGTCCCTAGGAGAATCATACTGAAATGTTTCTAGGAGATAGATACGTCGGTCTGAGTATAGAAGGAGATCTGAACTGAGCAAGAGGTCAATTTGAGTGAATGTCCTCAGAATAGAAGACTTGAGTGTGTACCCAAGGGCCCAGGACCTGTATGGAGAACAGTCTAAACACAAAGCCCTCGGTGCATCAGCGTTGAACAAATAGTTCATCAAAGGGATGGTGAGCCAAAGAGCTCAACATGCTGACACACAACATGCTTTGCATGTAGGAGGCCCAGGTTTGAGCACTGTTGGCAGCCCCCCTGAGCACTGAGCTGGGAGTAGCCTCCTGAGCCTCACATATTGTGTGACCCAAAACCTAAAGAAAGATAAAGAGACTCTGAGTCTTCAGCAGTGAACAGCCAGCGGTGGAAATGAGGGAGGAGGAAAGACTTAGAAAATCATAAAGAGGGAAGTTTCCAGCAGTAGTTAGTGATGGAGCGGTGCAGTAAGCTGACGGTGGAATGTGTCATAGGAATTAGCAACCAGGATTTGGACAAAAATGGTTTTAAGGAAATAGTGAAATCCAGGCCCAAAGTTGTCAGTAGGAATAGGGCTGAATTAGAAATGAGTGTTGATAAATCAATTACTTTGGTTGGGCATGGTGATAGGGGAAAATGGAGAGGAGGATTTAAATGAGAAGATTCTGTTCCTGTTATCACTTGGGGAAAGCTATCATATGGGGGAGGAGGAATGATGGAGAGCCAAACAAAGTGGGCTAAAGGGTGAGGAGGACGTGTCCAGAATCTCTGTGGGTGTCCCTCTCCCCTCGGGCATCTGTGCAGCCTCGATAACTTTCCTCCTGCTGGTGTCTGAATGCCGTCATTGACCAGTCTTGTAATGACCACAGCCCTGCTCCTCTGTAGTGTAACACCAACTTGTTTCTAGTCCACAGCTTCTGATATGCGATTTGAGGACACATTCTACGGAGCCGACATAATCCAAGGGGAGAAAAAGAGGCAGCGAGTGCTGAGCTCCAGGTTTAAGAACGAGTATGTGGATGACCCGGTGTACCGCACTTTTCTGAAGAGCTCTTTCCAGAAGAAGTGCGTGAAGAGGCCCTAGTAGACACTGCCAAAGACCACAGAGTAGCTTGTGCCGGAAGACGCTAGAGGACAGGACAGCCTGTGGGCTGGACTGTGTGTTTCGCCTGGGGTGGGTGATGTGATTTATCTCTGACAGTGGACATGCATCTTCCCAGAGTTTGGTGACCAAGACCTTATAGTACACATGCGCTAACAATTGGCTCCATCTATCAGAAGGCATTCTCTAGCCTTGCTCTCACTTGGGAACAACTGTCTTCTTGGATCCCAAAGAATTTTTCTAAGTAAAGGAAATAACAGTGAATCACCCACCCAGAAAAAAAAAAGTCACTGCCTGAGAGAAGGTGGGTTCATGCCCGGTGTGTGGCTCAGGCCCCGAGTCAGGGAACACAGGGAGCCTTCTCGCCCCTCCACCCCAGCCTCGAGAGCCCAGATTCTGGGATGGTGGGAAGGGGGGAATCATTTCTATATTTTCCACAGTCAGGGAAGGACTCTCACTCATTTTAAAAGGCAGTTTTTATAAAACATTTTTAAAACACAAATGGCATGCATGGTAATAAGATTTACCCGTGTGCTATCTGTATTTCCCTTGTACAGAACTTTCACATTTTTTTATATCCCTATTACTTTTGATTGTGTCTGACAAGAACTGAGTTGTTTGGCCTGTGTGGAATTTTTGGCTCTTGAGAAAGAATTCTTATGAATTGTATGGGAATTTTATATATATTTAAAGAGGGAGATCTGGGGCTGTTATTTTTAAACACTTTCTTTTCCTAATACATATTCTGAGTAGATATTTATAAAATATGTTCCTTTTATTATGTGTTTGTAAAATTAGAGTTTAAATAAATATGCTTTGATGCATAGTTTTGAACTAATAGAATTTTTCCTTTCTAAACCCGCCTGAAAATGTACTAGTGTTTAAAAATAAAGATTTCCATTTGCTCCAATTCTGTCTTGTTGATTTGTCTAGGTTTAAACTGTTAGAAAAACAAGTTTTGTTGGGGAGCTGGCTGTCAAGCCATCCTGGGGGCCCCAATTTTTCCAGACCTCTTTCAGTCACGGGCTTTTCATCTAACTGGAAACATCACCAGACATTTGTGACAGTATCGCTAGGGATAATGACCTCTCTGTCTGTCAGCAGAAGCACTTTCCTCAGCTTCTTTTTAGGCCTGGTGGACACCTACCTATTTCCTCGATTCTCCAACTCTTCTAACCCCAGATTCCGGGTCTTCAGTTTGAAGGGGTTGAATGGATTCTTCGCTCCCTTCACTCTGTGTAGATGAGGAGCAGAGAACAGGCTTGCCCACATCCACACAATCTTCAGTAATGCTCAAGCCAACCTTGGTCACAATTAGGCTGCATAACAAGCTTGCTGAAAAATCTCCGGGGCTCTACAGAGAAGCACTTCTTTGCTTTCCAAAGCTGCAGGGTTGCTGGGCAGTGCGCTGGTGTCAGCGTGGACCAGCTTACAGAGCTGCCCCACGGATGTGTCTCCCTTCATCCCACAGGGCACAGTGGGCTGCTGTGTGAGTTCACATTAGGGGCAGAGATGGGAGAGAAAGAGAGCCCAGGCCCATGCACAGAGCCAGAGATCAGAAGGCATTTCAAAGTTTCATGGCAAAGAGTAGAGTTTCTGGATATGGAGTGAAGAACGGAGATGGTTGTTGCAGTGACCCGGTTAAAGCAGTTCTCCAGCCTGCTCCCTAGTTGAGTGCTCAGTTTTCAGAATGCCTCATGGCTGAACTCTGGGCCGGGAAGAGCCCATCACTCTTATTTCTGCAGGCAGTCAGCATGCCACATTCTCTAAGTTACTCAGATATTTAAGCAAGTCATCAAACTTACATTTTCTGTCTCTGGGTTTTGAATTGAACTGACCTGTCCTTTCCACACTATCCCAGGAAGGAGACCTGTGTAAGGCATTAAAAGGACTTCATCTAAATAGGATCATTCGTTCTGTACATGTTTGCCTGTCAGCAAGATTTCCGATTGACGGCCACAGGAAGAAAATGTGAACAGCCCTATGTGATCTCAAATACAGCTGGGGTTTTTTATGGTCTCACTTAACTAATGTTCCTCTAACCAAGTCCAGCTGTAGATGTGGCCTTAGCAAACAGTGCCGGCCACAAATGCACTCTGACCCTGGAGAAAGGCACCATGTTCCACTGCATCCGTACTAGCTCTCTCCCCCGAGAGACCATTAAAGCTTTTCTACTTATTGTATGACACCTCAATTGTAATTTTAATTTCTTTGGCTTACACCATCTGTATTTTTAGTGTCTGTGTGTAGCATGAAACCAGTCAAAATCCTTCTAGTATTTAAAAAAAAAAAGCTAGCATGACAATTCTAATATAATTCTCTTGTACACTGTTTCTTTGGAGATCAGAGAATTTAGTAAAAACACAGCATATTTCACATTTTAATTTCTTTATGTGTGTTTGAAATGAAAACAGTGTAATTCTTGTCAGTCTATTTTCATTACATTACTTTTGTTTAGGTCTGCTAGAGAAAAACAAGAAATAGCCATTGTTTCTTCTATCAGCTATCATGGCTTCCCAGACTACATTATAAATTGCTACTGAATAATAATATATGAAGATTCGGAATACCAACATATTTTGGAGGAAGTAAATCTGCTACTGTCTGTGTCCATCTGGTGTGAAATGAGACTGAAAAGCTTGTTTCTTTAACTGACCTGGAAGTGATACGGCTAATCATATTGGGAGAGTATATGCTGCAAGATAACATTGCTTTATTTCTTGCCTTTAAAAGGGAGCCGAAATGAAACAATCTGCATTTCAGACATTAATTTCCCTCATAAATGAACCTAATCAGAGATCCTAAGGCATTCTCATTATATAAGTAATTGGTTGGTTGCAAGACGCAATTGGACTGCAAACTGAGAATTCAGATGTGTGGTCCTTGGAAATGTGGCAGGGACCACATGTTGTAGCACTGACTGGCGGCAGAACAATTTCTGGCCCCTGAAGAAGGACCTATAGTTTCCAGCAAGTGGCCTGACAATTCAGAAATGTCATGCTCCATCCTCAGAAGCTGCTTTTCCCCTTGAAATGGAACTTGATCAAGAGAAGCCACAGATTATTGAGCATCTATTGTGTATACCCAGCTGTGTAAGCATGCTTGGCAGTTTTAATCTTCTGTAACCTTCCAAAAAGTAAGCCTCATTCCCCTCTTTTATGGAGGGAGGCAAGGTTCTGCAGTGTTAAATAACGATTGAACCACTCAAGGATTTTAACACAAGAGAGGGAAAAGAACAGAATCCTAAATCTGACCTAAACAAAAGGCATTAATAATAGACAAGTCAGAAATTGGAAGCTTCAGGATCTATATTTTAAGGTTTATTAATGTCTGGTTCTCAATTCCAACAGTTTAATGCAGGCCTAATAAAATGATAGGTTCTACGTTAAACAAACAAACAAACAAAACACCCTCAGAATCTTAAGTTAGCAGATATGAGTAAGGAAGGGCTCATCTTCACTGGCAGAAGTATGTGACTTCACTTCCTGACAAAGCAGAACTTATAGGAACGGAAGATATCAGTGGTTGCCAAGAACTTAGGGCTGAAGGAGCAGTGGAGGGCACAAAGATTGTCAACACAGGGAAGAAGCTTTTGGGGATTGATTGAAATATTCTTTATTTTGATTGTGATGGTTCTAACAGAACTATCTGTAAAATTAATCAATGATTGGGACACTGAAATAGATTTTAATCTGGGACCTCAAGAAGCTGGAGAAATAGGACAGGTAAGGTGCTTGCCTGGAGCACTGTTGGGTGTGGCCCCAAATCAAAAGTATCACCTCAATAAAAAAATAATTGATAAAATATTTATTAAATAAATTCTGGAGGGATGTGGACAGACTACTTAGAAAATATGCCTTGGGAGAATAAGCAGTGGTCAAAGTCCTAGGGAATAGCTAACTATGGTTGAGAGAAAAGAGGAACCTGAGAAAGCATTTAGAGAGGGATGAGAAATGAGCACATGGGGATGCTGTGATGCCAGTGATGTCAAGAGAGCTTGTAGGAAAGATCCAAGCACAATTGTATCATTAAGTAAGAGGCCGGTGGTGACCTTGGGGAGAGCATTTGAAGTGGTTTCAGATGAGTAGTGCATTATTCAAATTTGTGGTTGTTCTCGGACACACATTGACTCCTTTCAAGATTTCCTCCTGGGGCTGGAAGATAGCACAGCGGGCAGGGCATTTGCCTTGCACACGGCCGACCCAGGTTCGATTCCCAGCATATCATGTATGTTCTCCCGAGCACCACCAGAAGTAATTCCTGAGTGCATGAGCCAGGAATAACCCCTGTGCTACACCGGGTGTGACCCAAAGACAAAAAAAAAATTCCTCCTTTGTGTCCAGTTTTGGGAGTTTTTTATTTGATTCAGTTTTTGGTTTAGGGGCCACCGTCTCAGGGACGTACTCCTGGCTCTGTGCTCATGATCACTCCTGGCAGGGCTCAGAGAACCATATGCCGTGCCAGGAATTGAACCCAGGTTAGTTGCATGCAGGGTAAGTACCTTGTACTCTCTCTCACTTTTGTGTCTAGTTTCCAGAGGTTTGATAAATGATGTGTTTCATCTTCATCGCTTTGGGTTAATCTTGCTTGGGGATTATTCAGTTTCTTGAACACTCTAAATTTGGGGAAATTTCACTCTTGAAATGGTTTTCTTTTAGCTTCACATACTCCTCTCCTTCTGGGAGTTCAATGACTTGCACATAAAGTCTTTTCTTCTTGTTCCACAGGTTCATGGTGATCATTTAGTCTGTTTTCTCTCAGTTCAAACTGGGTAAACTATTGATTTGCCCTGAAGCCTAATGTTTCTGTTCTCTGCCATCTCCAAACTATTATTGAATCCACTGAGTGTGTTTTTTATTTTGGTTATTTTCAGTTCTGTAATTCTCATTTGGTCCCTTTTTATATTCCTTTGTCAGAATTTTATAGCCCCCACCCCATTTATTTAAAAAATATTCAAAATTGTCCATTGGGACATTTTCCTGCTCACTACTTTTCAGGTATTCCCAACATCTAGCTCAGATTTTGATAATGGTGTACACTGGTTGTTTTTTCTCATCTAGCTGTGACTTTTTCTTCTTGGAGTGACATGATTTGGTTGTGACCTGGGTAATGAGCGTAGGTGTCATGTTGGAAGATGATGGATTTTACTTCTCTTTTTACTCTTAGCAAGCATTCACCTCATTGCCCTCACAGGTCCTGTCTTTTTGTGCCTTGGGGTTCCAGTGATTCTTTAGCTTTGGGAACTTTATAGTGCTTTTGTGATCTGCTTTGTTTGTGGGTAACCTCAAGGCCACATTGCAAGAGCTATTCTGCTCTTCCATTCAGTTCTCAAATTTTATGCTGGACTAATGTAGGTCAGTTTCACTTGTGGGTTACTCATTGAGTTCCTGAACAGGTTCTAAGAACTCCTTTCTCGACTTCCCTGCTCTCCCAAAATTTACCTCCAATCTCTATAGTTAGGAAACTGAGGGCTGCTGCTGCTACCCAAGGTTGCTACCGCCCACTGAGTCTCCACTGGCATCTTCCTGGCAGGAAAGGGAATGCAACCCTGAACCATCAGCTGAAGCTTAGTCATGAGGAGGGAGAATATCCAAACCCCCAGTGTGTCTCCATCAGCATAATACTTGTGAAGGAAGGAAACATCTCCAGGTGAGTGACAGAAACCCAACTGAGTGTGGCCCCCAAATCCATTCCCCCCTCCAAAAGAAAAAAAGATATACAAACTCCATACCAAACCTTACTAGTACTGCAGAAGTGAAGCCATTCACTGCATTGGATTGGGATAGTGTTGTCAGGATGTTTTTTGTCCTGCTGGGCTGCCCCTTTTCAGGTTCTTAGATTCCAGAGCTGGAATCTTAGATTCCAGGGCTGAAGCGATAGCACAGTGGGTAGGGTGTTTACCTTGCATGA